CATGAATGATAATTGTTGGTGGCCCGGTGGCCCAGTGGCCCGGTGGCCTGGTGGCTACAGCTCCCGCTTCACACACGGAGCGCCCGGGTTCGATTCCCGGCGGGTGGAAACATTTCGACACGTTTCCTTACACCTGTTGTCCTGTTCACCTAGCAGCAAATAGGTACCTGGGTGTTAGTCGACTGGTGTGGGTGGCATCCTGGGGGACAAGACTGAGGACCCCAATGGAAATAAGTTAGACAGTCCTCGATGACGCACTGACTTTCTTGGGTTATCCTGGGTGGCTAACCCTCCGGGGTTAAAAATCCGAACGAAATCTTATCTTATCTTACAAGTTATAAACATGTGCAATATTTGGGTATCCTTACCGACTAAAAGTTTCACTTGCACAACCTTCTTCAGTCGAATATAGACAGAAGAACCGGTGGAGGTGTAGAGACGATGTAATCAGTCCGTCACCCTAGAAGTGGTTCTGAGGTTCTTAGTCTCAGCCTGGAGAAGTTCTCAGCAGTCTGGATTATAATCATGGGGGAGTTTACCTGGAGCGCTAAACCCATAGGATTATACAGCGCATGTGGGGGGATGGAAGGCATTCAGGTTCAATTCAGGGAACTGGAGTACAGATCCAATTCCCTAGATCAAGAGCCCGTCACCAGCATGAAGGAACCTCCCTCGAGGGGTCAATAGTCTGGAAGAACCAAACCATACCACGGGCGGAGATAGAACCCGTGATCAGAGTCAAGAAACTGCAGACCAACGCGCTGGGTTTTTATGACTGACCGCGGGTTCTATCCCCACCCGTGGTATGGGTTTCCAATCGTGTCATTACGATTTTGTGAGTCAGTCTGGAAGAATCATTAGAATTGAGACACCAAGAAGAGACAAAGGACTCCAATGGAAATAAGTAACTTTGTCTGTTTTTTTTTTTTTTTTTTGGGGGGGGGGAGTTATCTTGGGTTCTCTACACATTCTGCTATGTATGATAATCTATGTAACTGTATTTGTGTATACCTGAATATACTTACTTGTCAAACAAGTGCATCACCCCTGGCAGTCTTCAAGCTGGCACTGGACTAGCACCTAAAGTCGGTTCCTGACCAGCCGGGCTGTGGCTCGTACTTTGGTTTGCGTGCAGCCAGCAGTAACAGCCTGGTTGATCAGGCTCTGGTCCACCAGGAGGCCTGGTCACAGACCGGGCCGAGGGGGCGTTGACCCGCGGAACTCTCTCCAGGTAAACTCCAGGTAAACCCCAACCACCCAGCAATAACACAAGTCCAGTGTCCCAACCACCCAGCAATAACACAAGTCCAGTGCCCCAACCACCCAGCAATAACACAAGTCCAGTGCCCCACCACCCAGCAATAACACAAGTCCAGTGCCCCAACCACCCAGCAATAACACAAGTCCAGTGCCCCAACCACCCAGCAATAACACAAGTCCAGTGCCCCAACCACCCAGCAATAACACAAGTCCAGTGCCCCAACCACCCAGCAATAACATAAGTCCAGTGCCCCAACCACCCAGCAATAACACAAGTCCAGTACCCCAACCACCAGCAATAACACAAGTCCAGTGCCCCCAACCACTGAGCAATAACACAAGTCCAGTACCCCAACCACCCAGCAATAACACAAGTCCAGTGCCCCAACCACTGAGCAATAACACAAGTCCAGTACCCCAACCACCCAGCAATAACACAAGTCCAGTACCCCAACCACCCAGCAATAACACAAGTCCCAGTGCCCCAACCACTGAGCAATAAACAAGTCCAGTACCCCAACCACCCCAGCAATACACAAGTCCAGTGCCCCAACCACTGAGCAATAACACAAGTCCAGTACCCCAACCACCCAGCAATAACACAAGTCCAGTACCCCAACCACCCAGCAATAACACAAGTCCAGTGCCCCAACCACCCAGCAATAACACAAGTCCAGTGTCCCAACCACCCAGCACATAACACAAGTCCAGTGCCCCAACCACCCAGCAATAAACACAAGTCCGTCCCCAACCACCCGACAATAACACAAGTCCAGTGCCCCAACCACCCAGCAATAACACAAGTCCAGTGCCCAACCACCCAGCATAACACAAGTCCAGTGCCCCAACCACCCAGCAATAACACAAGTCAGTACCCCAACCACCCAGCAATAACACAAGTCCAGTGCCCCAACCACCCAGCAATAACACAAGTCCATGCCCCAACCACCCAGCAATAACACAAGTCCAGTGCCCCAACCAACCCAGCAATAACACAAGTCCAGTACCCCAACCACCCAGCAATAACACAAGTCCAGTGCCCCAACCACCCAGCAATAACACAAGTCCAGTGTCCCAACCACCCAGCAATAACACAAGTCCAGTGCCCCAACCACCCAGCAATAACACAAGTCCAGTACCCCAACCACCCAGCAATAACACAAGTCCAGTGCCCCAACCACCCAGCAATAACACAAGTCCAGTGCCCCAACCACCCAGCAATAACACAAGTCCAGTGCCCCAACCACCCAGCAATAACACAAGTCCAGTACCCCAACCACCCAGCAAAACACAAGTCCAGTGCCCCAACCACCCAGCAATAACACAAGTCCAGTGCCCCAACCACCCAGTAATAACACAAGTCCAGGTCCCCAACCACCCAGCAATAACACAAGTCCAGTGCCCCAACCACCCAGCAATAACACAAGTCCAGTGCCCCAACCACCCAGCAATAACACAAGTCCAGTGTCCCAACCACCCAGCAGAAACAGCTATGAATCATCACTGTGATCGTGTATTTATTTAAATCTTATTTAACATGATCTGCACGTTTTAGCTCTGAAGAAACTCAATGCTTCTCAAGACATATTCTAATTATATCAGTGGTATAAATACCGACGAGTTGATTAGTAACACAAGTACACATCCCTTGAAATCTTCATTGACCCACACCAGTCTGCTAACACCCAGGTACCTATTTTACTGCTAGGTGAACAGAGATATCAGGTGTCTTAAGGAATAAGGAAATACGCCTAAATGTTCTACACATACCGGAAATCGAACCACGGACCGCAGTGTGTAAGCTGAGTGTGTTACCAACCGAGGTACGGGACACCTAATGGAACACAGAGATAAATCACATTCCTTGAGACAGCGTTGGTTAAAAAAGAAGTGGAGAGGTAGTCTGATATTATCAGTCCATCACCCTAGATGCAAGAGTCTTATATGCAGGAGGGTGAAGTGTAGTAGCTGGAGATGAGACCATAGGTGAACGGGGCCCGCTAGTGCAAGTACGCCATACTGAACAGTTGTCAGCAAAAGAGTACCAATATACCATCGTGTTAATGAATGAATTTCTTGCAACATTTCTGTATTTTTATTGTGGAAATGTTTCGCTATCCAGTGGCTTAATCACTCCAGGACTGATCAAGCCACTGGAAAGCATCCTGGAGTTTACCTGGGGACAAAATCTAATTTGCAGGAAATGCAGTGCATAACCAGGGGTTTCTATATAGTATGTCATTGATGTCAGCTATGGTCTGTATACGTCGTATCATGTACCTGTAGAAATAAGGATTGATTATTACCGTGAGTTATGCGATGATATAAACTTAGTTAGAAGCAGATAGCATCACTGTAAGCGTTGTTAGTTCTGCTGTAGCAACAGACGTAGATGTGAGTGGGACTTCGAGTGATGAATACAGTAGTGTCCTCATCAGATGGTTACAGCATGTGTCAGCAACACCATCACAGCTGCCAGCCACACCATCAATGTAACCACGTGATGCTTAACAGTATTGCTTTCATAGTTTATGTTTTTTATTTTACATAATTTGTTGAAGTTAGGATAATTGGAGACGTATAAGACACCCAGAATCCTGTACAACCGTCTCATTCTTCAACTTGTCCATTTTATAAACCCTTTATATATAGAGAGTAGAATTTGTGGCTGTTTCTCACCTAGAGACTATCGTGTCGCAGCTATATCAGACTACCTCACCAGACTGTGACTACTACACCAAACTATCGTGTCTCAGCTACAACTAACCTATGACTGCTACTACCAAGCACACTATGTCTACACATGTACACTATGTGTACACATGTACACTATGTCTACACATGTACACTATGTCTACACATGTACACTATGTCTACACATGTACACTATGTCTACACATGTACACTATGTGTACACATGTACACTATGTCTACACATGTACACTATGTCTACACATGTACACGGGGACTTTTTTGATTATCTCAGATAATTTACAATTATGTAACAACTCATGATAAGTGCACTAGTACGTACTTGTGCCCAAATAAACTATTTACACAATGACTAGACAGAACGAAGAGGAATTTTCCGTCTTATTTCACAGCTTAACAAACAGAGTATAGTAGTATATATAAATGTACATCAAATATATATATATATAATATATATATATATATATATATATATATATATATATATATATATATATATATATATATATATATATATATATATATATATATATATATATATATATATATAATAAAGAGTTTAAAGCTATATTTCGCACCCCCTCAAGGAAGGTTCCTTGATGTTGGTGAGGGGCTCTTGATTTAGGGAATTGGATCTGTGCTCCAGTTCCCCGAATTAAGCCTGAATGCCTTACACATCCCCCCCCCAGGCGCTGTATAATCCTACGGGTTTAGCGCTTCCCCCTTGATTATAATAATAATCACTCCCAGGTTATAGGGACTCAAAAAAGGCACCAGAGGTGGTCTTTTTATATATATTTTTTAATTATATTTTAACTATGTTATGGGAACTCAAAAAAAATAGAGGTAGTCTTTTCTTATAGAGTTTTTTAGTGTATTTTAACCAGGTTATGGGAACTCAAAAAAGACACCAGAAGTGGTCTTTTCATATATATTTTTTAATTATATTTTAACCAGGTTATAAGAACTCAAAAAAAAAAGTCCTGGACGTGAGTGTTTTTTGTTATAATAATATATTTTAGGCAGTGAAGGAAGAGTCGCCATCTGTTGAGAGGATCAAGAACCAACTGTGTCAATACTGTCTGGACCAAACCTGGACCAAACCTGGACCAAACCTGGACCAAACTGGACCAAGATGGACCTAAAGAAGCTGGCTGGCCAGGCTGGCCAGTTCCTAACTCGTGCAGTACAGGTATATATATGTATATATAACTGTTACATATGTATATACCACCTGATACTATCTTGTTCCAGGGACCTGGAGCTGTATTCCACTTCCTCGGATCAAACTTGATTGCCTGGGCCATTTCCTCCCCCCCCCTCAAGTGCTGCATGACCACCTACAGGTTTAGCGCCCCATCATAAATACGACTCGTGGAATAATTTTTTCTTATTTTCAGAGATATAATTAAGAAAATTATTATGGTTGTACATGTCATGTACCTGTTATGATGCACATCTACCCTTGGCGGAGTAAGGTTAAGGTAATTAACTTGATTTTAGGTCATAATAAGTAATTAAGTTTATTTAGGCACAGGTACACATAGATGCACATAGGTACACATAGATGCACATATGTACACAGGTACACATATACACATAGGTACACATATACACATAGGTACACATAGATACACATACACATACGTACACATAGATACACAGATACACATAGATACACATAGATACACATACACATAGATACACATAGGTACACATACACATAGATACACATAGATACACATAGGTACACATACGTACACATAGATACACATAGATACACATAGATACACATAAGTACACATAGGTACAATTATCATATATAGTGTAAACTACATAAGATAACCCCAAAAAGAGTCAGACATATCTAGGGTGATGCACATCTACCCATGGCAGAGTAAGGTTAAGGTACATTAGTTTATTTTAGGTTGGGTTTGATATATTTTTTCTTAGGTTATTTTTTTTTTACCATTTGCACAAGAGGATAATATCTCGACTCGTGCAGTCGTAATGACACGATTGCAAACAACCCACGGTACAGTATGTAGTAGCGACCAGTGAAGAGGCGGGGCCAGGAGCTGTGACTCGACCCCTGCAACCACAACTACGCGAGTACAGAAAGGGACGAGAATGATCTCTTATATGGAAATAACTAATTACTATATTATCTTACTATATTATCTTACTATATCTTACTATATTATCTTACTATATTATCTTACTATATTATCTTACTATATTATCTTACTATATTATCTTACTATATTGTCTTACTATATTGTCTTTTATTGTAACTGTTTTTACATACTTAAGATACTTGCCTGTTTTTAACTTTTAAGACTTAACCCGTAAACGGTCCAAACGTATATATACGTTTTTTCAACATTTGAAAGTTTGTAAAAAAAGTAGATCTTCTTTTTGTTTTTTTACATTTGAAAATGTGTAAAAAACTTTGATCTACTTTTTTTTTTTGTTATAGTATTTGAAAATATGTAAAAAAAAAGCGTAGATCTACATTTGTAGCACCACACATGTGAACATAGATCTGCTTGGACCGTTTACGGGTTAAACTGTCCAAACGGAGATCTACGTTTGCACGCGTAGTGCTCTGACCTTGATTTTTCTCCATAACAAAGAATGTAAAAAACAACGTAGATCTACATTCGGAGTGCTACGCGAGTGAACGTAGAACTACGTTTGGACAGTTTAAGGGTTAAATATAAATAATATTTATCACAAGGACCCCAATGGAAATAAGTCACTTTGACTTTTTTTGGGTTATCCTCAGTTGTTTATATACAGTGGACCCCCGGTTAACGATATTATTTCATTCCAGAAGTATGTTCAGGTACCAGTACTGACCAAATTTGTTCCCATAAGGAATATTGTGAAGTAGATTAGTCCATTTCAGACCCCCAAACATACACATACAAATGCACTTACATAAATACACTTACATAATTGGTCGCATTGGGAGGTGATCGTTAAGCGGGGGTCCACTGTATATGCTGCTATGTATAATAATGTAACTTTGTATACCTGAATAAACTTGCTTATGGAACTCGTGGCGAGTGAGTCGTAAAACTCCAGATCGGCGAGTGGGAAAGATAATAACCATAACACAAATGTAATATTATACAGTTCAAACTGTATTGCAAGGCTACTCAAATACTATGAGCAAAGGTACACTTGGACAAGTACCAATGTATGCCAAGGTCCCGATACATATTTTACACGCAGTCACGAAAAGCAACAAATCCGAGCATAGATTACCAATAGACCCCTGACAGTCTTCAAGCTGGCACTGGACAAGCACCTAAAGTTGGTACCTGACCAGCCGGGCTGTGGCTCGTACATTGGTTTGTGTGCAGCCAGCAGTAACAGCCTGGTTGATCAGGCTCTGATCCACCAGGAGGCCTGGTCACAGACAGGGCCGTGGGGGCGTTGACCCCTGGAACTCTCTCCAGGTAAACTCCAGGTATAGGGCAGTGTACACATCATTTTCTGTGAACTTCATTTTCAGTTCTCGTCTCATAAAAGTTTACAAAATATGAAGATAAATACTGGGAAAAAATAATTTTTACATTATATCGAACAAGTTTTGGATTTATTTTACTCAAATTGGTTTAAATGGAATTTTCAAACTGAAAAATTAATATAGTATATACTGATTAACAGAATGGTATACAGTGGACCCCCGGTTTACAATATTATTTCATTCCAGAAGTATGTTCAGGTGCCAGTACTGACCGAATTTGTTCCCATAAGGAATATTGTGAATTAGACTAGTCCATTTCAGACCCCCAAACATACACATACAAACGCACCTACATAAATACACTTACATAATTGGTCGCATTGGGAGGTGATCGTAAACCGGGGGTCCACTGTATAATAAAAATTATAGTACAACAAGATTCAAAGTTTTATTAAAAAAAGAATTCCGAATTTTAACATGTAAGGTTCAACAAGTCTGATGTAATGTGTGTATGATTGTAGGTAAGTTGTCTTTGTATCATGTATGTGTGCCTGTGTACTGTAATTCTGTTATGCTAATTTAGTGAAAGAAACGACACTTCTTACTTCGTATTAATTCCTGATATCTTGGTACTAATGGAGTAATAGATAGTTGAAGACTGATGGAGGCGTTCACTGGTCATACAGGAGTGGAACTTGTTCTTCACGAATTTCATAGCTGAGAACACAGACTCACAGTGGTAGGTGGACCCAGACATTGTGAGAATCTGGACTGCTAATCTGTGAAGTGTGGGAAAATGCGCAGGGGATCCTTCTTTTGACCAAAATGTTTCTGGTGTACAATCACAAAGTACTTGTCTCAGTGTTACATTCTCTTGGAAGTCAATGAGTCCCAGTTGAATTTTTGCAGCAGCTACCCATCTGAAGGTTTGTTTTGCTTCGACTGAGAATTCTGTGATATCCGCCACTAGGAAGGGGTTTTGAACGAACACCAGCAGCTGTTTTCCAAGAACGTTGCTCTGAAAGTCCGGGGAAATGTAAAAGTTGCCTCTGAACATCATTAGCGAAAAGTTCCAATTTCTTCTGGAAAGCTTGAATTGTTGAGATCATGTTGAAGATCATGTGTTTTTCCCCTTGCTGTTAAACGTTAAGATCGTTCAGATGTGGCATTATGTCCATTTTCTTGCCATGTTTCAAAAAATCAGAAAATGTCTTTGCCTTCACACTGTTTTGATCCTTGAGAAAAGTCTGTAGCTCTTTTCTCATTGCCCAGAACTGCTCTAAAACCCTTCCCTTACTCAACCATCTCACATTGTTGTGCACAAGTAAATCATCATAGCATGCATTGACCTCAGTTAGAAAGCTTCAGAGTAGACGGTGTTGTAGTGCTAATGTTGATCAAAGGAAGTTTGCTAACTTCATAATAGTCTCTGTGAGGTCACCATACTCGTCTCCCAGACTGGCACACAGTACTGATTGGTGGATAATGCAGAGATAAGTTATCATGTCAGGATTATCTTCCTTCAATCTTGCGACTAATCCCCTCTCTCGACCAACCATGGCTGGAGCTCCATCTGTGGTCAGTGAAATGATGGATTTGACATCAATATTTCTTCATCAGTTTTTCTTTTTTGGGCCACCCTGCCTTGGTGGGAATCGGCCAGTGTGATAATAATAATAATAATAAATTTCTCATTTCTAACATGCTTTTCAAGGATCCTTATATATCCTCTTCTTGTGTTCTTCCTTTAAGGTCGGTAACACGCAACAAGTGCCAGCAAAATTGTTTTTTATCTGTATCATAATACAGTGTATCTCGCAAATACCATGAGTTGAGCATTATCGATACTGTCCGTTGACTCATCTAAAGCCAGTGAAATACAAAGGTTTATCAATGGTATATGTACAGACCACAAACTAAAGACTGCCCTGTGTGCAAAATAGCCACAGAGGGAGTTGAATGATAGCTCTAGGCCTTTCATGTTACAATCACACATCATCAGGAGCTTGCAGTATTACAGAAATAGAGCAGGAAATCCAGGCAGATTCATTCAGAGAAACGACTCTCCAGAAAGGCCTAGAGCTATCATTCAACTCCCCTGGGGTTACTTTGCATCTTACATTGCTTGTTTGCAATTATTGCATACTGCCCTCTGTGTGTGTGTGTGTGTGTGTGTGTGTGTGTGTGTGTGTTTTATATATATATTTGTATGTTTTTCATACATGGTGACCTGCAAACCCTTGTTGCCATTTGTTTGGAAATTGAGCCTGCTTGTTGAGCTGCAGCTCTTGGATAGGAAAAATACATATTAGTTCTCTGCTACAAAGTAGAAGATTTACAAGTATTAAATATCTGTGTTTTTACAATTTTCAGTACACAGAAGAAAAGATTGGCAGCGCTGAAAAGACAGAATTAGATGGCCACTTTGAATCCTTGTCCCATCAAGCGGATTCGGCCAGACACTGGACGGAAAAGATGCTGGTTGGTGCAGAGTCTGTCCTTATTCCAAACCCAGGTTAGTGTCTAACTCAGCAGCTGAGTACTAATGCTGTACTCAGGTTGTGTCATCTTAATATTTCCCTGTCAACCCTAGGAAAACAGGCAAATATGAAAATTTGTGAGAGGTAAATTTAGTTTGTACCAGAACTAACATAGTAACATAACTTAACCTATGATGTTAAGTTGTTTAGTTTGTACCAGAACTAACATGGTAACCTAACTTAACCTATGATGTTAAGTTGTTTAGTTTGTACCAGAACTAACATGGTAACCTAACTTAACCTATGATGTTAAGTTGTTTAGCTTGTACCAGAACTAACATAATAACCTAACTTAACCTATGATGTTAAGTTGATGATGACTTGTTAAAATTTATTTATGTCCTTTGCTTTATAATATTTTTCCTTGTTCTTGTACATTTGTTTTTTCTTCTCTTCATCCATTTTAATTCAAAAATTGAGCAAAATCTTAATACAGTGGACCCCCGGATAACGATCAGCTCCCAACTCGACCAATTATGTAAGTTTATTTTTGTAAGTGCTTTCGTAGGTGTATTTTTAGGGGTCTGAAATGGACTAATCTAATTCACAATATTTCTTACGGAAAAAATTCGGTCTATAACGGCACCCAAACAGACTTCTGGATTGAAATAATATCGTTATGCGGGGGTCCACTGTATTTTTATGAAAACTTCGATATTTTACAATATTTTTAACTTTTGAGGTTTTGTACATTGAACCTTTGATGATGATGTTATAGGCCTTGTTATTGTATAATTAAAGCATTTACTTATTTACAGGCAACAGGGTAGAAGATATGATCTTTGAAAAGATTGAGAAGCGCCGTCCCAATAGACTTAGCAACTTGGAATATTTTGGGTTGGATATGGTTCAAGCTGGGAATGATTTTGGCTCAGGGACAGCGTATGGTAAGTTGTGTGAGGGTTATTCTTTCTGTGTTTGACAGATGAGAGATCAGAATACCAAGTTGGTTTATTTATTTACATTTACCATCATTTTTAATGTTAATATGTTTGTCAGAGAAAATAGTCTAATATAGGTCTTAATCATAGTACTGTACAGTGGTCCCTCGATAATCGTCGGGCTCGATAGTCGTTCTTTTTGGAAATCGTCGCATTATTTTCGTCCAAACATTGGCTCGCAAATGGTCGGTTGACTCGCTAATCGTCGTTCGTCTTGGATGTGTACTCACGGCTCTGAGCCGCCTCGGTCTCCCTTCCCAGCCAGTGTGCCATTGTTTACCAGTGAGCGATGGTCCTCTCACTTGTTCATACGAAATATTTCATTTTCGTGCTTGAAAGTGCTAAATAAGCTACCATGGCTCCAAAGAAAGCTCCTAGTGCCAAGCCTTTGGTAAAGAAGGTGAGAAATATGATTGAATTTAAGAAAAACATCATTGAACAATATGAAAGTGGCGTACGTGTGGCCGAACTGGCCAGGATTGTATAAAAAAACCCCATACAACCATATCTTCCATTGTGGCAAAGAAAAATGAAATCAAGGAAGCCGTTGTTGCTTGGAGAAAATTGTGGCCAGATTGTGTCCACAGAGGGATTATGAAGGTTTGTGGCTGACCCTGATGAGCCTATGTCAGTTGTGAAATCTATTGTGGCATTGGGGAGTTCCATGGGGTTGGATGTGAGTTTGGAGGATGTGGAAGAGTTGGTGGAGGACCACAACGAAGAGCTAACCACTGAGGAACTGCAAGAGCTTCAGCAGGAACAGCAACAGATCGCAGCTCAGAATCTTGCTGCAGAAGAGGAGGAAGAGAGATGGAAGAAGGTGCCTTCTTCAGAAATTAAGGAGATTTTTGATATGTGGGGTAGGATGGAAAGATTTATGGAGAAACATCACCCTGAGAAGGATGTTGCAAGCCATATTGGCAACTTGTACAGTGACAGAGTCTTGGCCCATTTTAGGGAAGTTTTAAAGAGACCAGAAACAGGGCTCTCTGGACACTTTTTTTTGCGAGACAGGACTCCAGTGACTCTCAAGCTGGTCCTAGTGGCATTAAGAAACAGAGAAGAGAAGTAACCCCAGAAAAGGACTTGGTACCTGAGGTGTTGATGGAAGGGGATTCCCCTTCCAAACAATAACTAATCCAATCTCTCTCCTCCAGTCTCCCATACACTAAGAAGAATCGCCAATAAAGGTAAGTGTTATGCTGTTAATGTTTCATTCATCATGTCCCATTGTATTGTTTATATACTACATCTATATTTCATGTAAAAAAATTTTTGTTTTAATATTTCTGGGTGTCAGGAACGGATTAATTGTGTTTACATTATTTCTTATGGGGAAAATTGATTCGAAAATCGTCTATTTCGATAATCATCGCACTTACAGGAATGGATTAACGATGATAAACGAGGGACCACTGTGCAGTATTAGGTGCTTAGTGAAATATATTCAAATATTTATAGTGCTCCAGAAACAAGGGGCTAGTAACCCCTTCTGATAAATAACTAAATTTAAAAAGAAAAACTTTAATTTTTCTTGTTAGGTCACCCGGCCTCTGTGAGATATGGCCACTTTGTTAAAAAAAAAATTATGGCATTTTCATAGAAGTAGCAGTACATGTGAACCAAGATTAATTGGTATTATGGTAGCGGGGTTCAATGATACGTCTTCGGAGGCTTCTTACTTTATTGTTAAGTCGTGGTGGGTACACAGGCTTGTGTGTTGTGCCCATGACCCGGGAGGGCCATCCCACGAGAGAGAGAAAGCTAGTAGGCCTTGTGTCTTCCTGCTAGGCTGCTGTGTGAGTGTGGGACCAGCTTCCCACAGACTTGGACAGGCCCAGAGGGCAGCACCTGAGTGGCACAAAATATGAACTAAGCTGGCAGACAGCAAGACTGTCTGTGCAGACAGTACAGGCTACCTACATACAGTACTATATATTACCATCCATGAGTATCCTTTTTTATCCAATAAATGTGGCCTAAGGTAGGCCCCTGGTCTTATGAAAGCTGTATATACATTTTTTATATGAAAAAGGGTAGAAAATTCAAGAATTTTAATTTTGTTGTTGGAGTGAGTATTTATGATACTCTTAATATGAAATAATTTTTTTCAGGCAAAACCCTTCGTATTTCAGGAAAGGTGGCAAGAAATATTCATGATTTGAAAATATTTTTTGTTTTTAGTTAAAGTTAGTTGTGATCGACAGGGTCAGCACTGCTGAAAGTAGGTGGTGCAGAGCAGCGTCTTGGGATGGTGGAGAGAGAATTTATTAGCAATGCAGTTCAGGGGTTTATCCAGCCACTGAGGAAGTTCCTCGAAACTGAAATGAAAACGATCACAAAGGAGAAACGACTTTTAGAGACCAAGAGGTAAGGGGAGTTGAACCTAACACATTAATATGGTTATAAGTTGATTTTCTTTTAACACTGGTTGTCTCTCTCCAAGGTAGTTTGAACAGAAAGAGGAAACACTGACAGTCACTCTAGTCAGAAGCAAGCTGACATCACAGTTCAGATGGCTGTCAGAAGCATGTGGTTGTCTGTCAGAAGCAAGCTGACATCACAGTTCAGATGGCTGTCAGAAGCATGTGGTTGTCTGATAGAAGCATGCTGATATCACAGTTCAGATGGCTGTCTGTCAGAAGCATGTGGTTGTCTGATAGAGACATGCTGACATCACAGTTCAGATGGCTGTCAGAAGCATATGGTTGTCTGTCAGAAGCAAGCTGACATCACAGTTCAGATGGCTTTCTGTCAGAAGCATGTGGTTGTCTGATAGAAGCATGCTGACATCACAGTTCAGATGGCTGTCAGAAGCATGTGGTTGTCTGTCAGAAGCATGCTGACATCACAGTTCAGATGGCTGTCAGAAGCATGTGGTTGTCTGATAGAAGCATGCTGACATCACAGTTCAGATGGCTGTCAGAAGCATGTGGTTGTCTGTCAGAAACAAGCTGACATCACAGTTCAGATGGCTGTCTGTCAGAAGCATGTGGTTGTCTGACAGAAGCAAGCTGACATCACAGTTCAGATGGCTGTCAGAAGCATGTGGTTGTCTGTCAGAAGCAAGCTGACATCACAATTCAGATGGCCTTCTGTTAGAGACAAATGATTTTTAAGACCTGATGAGCTGTTGGAGTGTGAGCAAGGAAATTGGTTAGCCAGACTTGAGTCCTGGAGATGGGAAGTACAGCACCTGCACTTGAAAGGAGGGTTTGGAATACAGTGGACCCCCGCATAACGATCACCTCCAAATGCGACCAATTATGTAAGTGTATTTATGTAAGTGCGTTTGTACGTGTATGTTTGGGGGTCTGAAATGGACTAATCTACTTCACAATATTCCTTATGGGAACAAATTCGGTCAGTACTGCACTGAACATACTACTGGAATGAAAAAAGTTCGTTAACCGGGGGTCCACTGTATTTGCTGTTTAGAGGGACATCTAAACTGTTGTATCTGCTTGCTTCTGGAGAGAGACTGGTAGTGAAAAATGGTGGTGAAAGTGTATTTTTTTTTTGGGGGGGGGTCACCTAGCCTTGGTGGGAGACGGCCAAGCACGTTTAAAAAATATGTATACGTACAGTATAAAATGAAAGAACAAGGAACCCCTTACTGTCATAAGAAATAATTCCCACACTTAACATATTTAACCCGTAAACGGTCCAAACGTATATATACGTTTTTTCAACATTTGAAAGTATGTAAAAAAAGTAGATCTTTTTATTTTTTTACATTTGAAAATGTGTAAAAAAACTTTGATCTACTTTTTTTTTTGTTATATTTGAAAATATGTAAAAAAAACTTAGATCTACTTTTGTAGCACTACATGTGTGAACGTAGATCTGCTCGGACCATTTACGGGTTAAATGCCTGAACAGTACAAACTGGATATGATTGAACAAATTCTTAAATCTGCTGCCTGTATTATCACAATATTGTACCATACATATCAACCTAGTCTTGCAATATTTACAAAGAACCTGTATTGCTTTTGACACGAGCAGGTTATGATCTGAAGGCAGTTTTCAAGGATCTGATTCAACAACATCAGAAAAGTTCCAAACTAGATTCACTCCATTTCCATCCCATATTTTCTGGTTCAAGTAGTTGTGGCGTACTGATGTGAACTTTCATCGTAAATAATGTTTGGTATTACACCTACAATAAGTGGTATATATATGGTATACATCACATACAAGATGAAGAATTAAACATGTGTAACATCTGGGTATATTTATTGTAGATGTTTTAATATCCAGTGGCTTTATCAATACAGTACAGGGACGTACAGTGGTACCTCGAGTTTCGTACAGCTCCCAACTCAAACAATTATTTTAAGTGTATTATTGAAGTGTTTTTGGGTAAGTGTATTTTTGGGGGTCTGAAATAGACTAATCTAATTTGCATTATTCCTTATGGGAACAAATTCGTTCGGTAATGGCACTCGAACACCCTTTCTGGAACGAATATGGCTGAAACTTGGGGTACCACTGTAATGGGAAGACTAGAATTATTTGATTATCTTGTCTTTAGTATATAGTTCTTCAGTCTTCCAATTATGTCCTTGAATTTGTATATAGTTCTTCAGTCTTCCAATTATGTCCTTGAATTTGTATATAGTTCTTCAGTTTTCCCAAATTATGTCCTTGAATTTGTAAAATAGTTCTTCAGTCTCCAATCATGTCCTTGAATTTGTATATAGTTCTTCAGTCTTCCAATCATGTCCTTGAATTTGTATATAGTTCTTCAGTCTTCCAATCATGTCCTTGAATTTGTATATAGTTTCTTCAGTCTTCCAATCATGCCCCTTGAATTTGTATATATTTTCTAGAGTCTTCTAATTGTGTCCTTGAACTTGTATTGATAAAGCCACTGGATGGTGAATTTTTTTTTTTTCAACAAGTGGGGCTGTCTCCCACCGAGGCAGGGTGACCCAAAAAAAAAAAAAAATACTTTAATCATCATTCAACACTTTCACCTCACTCGTACATAATCACTGTTTTGCGAGGCTCCCATATAAAAACAGTTTAAAAAGCATATGTAAAGATATATAAACATATCCCTCCAAACTGTCAATATTTTCAAACCCCTCCTTTAAAGTGCAGGGATTGTAACTTCCCATTTCCAGTACTCGGGTCTGGCTATATAAAAAATAGCCTTTCCCTGAAAACTCTTTCACTAAATATTACCCTGTCACACTTCAAGAGCTCGTCAGGTCTCGAGTACCATTCGTTCCATTACTCCTATCTAACATGCTCACGCATGCTGCTGGAAGTCCAAGCCCCTCGCCCACAAAACCTCCTTTACCCCCTCCCTCCAACCTTTTCAAGGACGACCCCTACCCCGCTTTCCTTCCCCTACGGATTTATACGCTCTCCATGTCATTCTAAGATCCATTCTCTCTAAATTACCAATCACCTCAACAACCCCTCTTCAGGGCCCCCTGACTAATTACTTTTATAAACTCCACAATGGAAAATGTCCTACAGTAAAGATACCCAGATATTACACATGTGTCAATGCCTGCACTTTAAAGGAGGGGTTTGGGATATTAGCAGTTTGGAGAGAGATGTTGTGTATCTTTATACGTATATGCTTCTAAACTGTTGTATTCTGAGCACCTCTGCAAAAACAGTGATAATGCGTGAGTGAGGTGAAAGTGGTGAATGATGATGAAAGCATTTTCTTTTTGGGGATTTTCTTTCTTTTTTGGGTCACTCTGCCTCGGTGGGAGACCCCCGACTTGTTGGAAAAAAAAAAAAAAAAAAGTCTAATGCTTCACCTACAATAAGTGTAAATGAAGAGCAACTTTTGTAGGCAGGAAAATGCCAGGTTTTTCTCTTTTAGAAAACAATATATGCGTTATTTCATAGACAGAATCAGTTCATTGCACTTTGTATATGTTGTGTACAATTCTTTTTGGTATAAACCTTGGTAATAAATACCAGCAAGTTGGTTTAGATAAACACATAAGCAAACAGTAGGACATATTTATTAGAAAACGTTTTGGTCCTGAGACCTTGATCACTTCTAACACTGTCTTTTAACCTGTGTGTGTTAGACATGATCAAGGTCTCAGGAGCAAAACGTCCTAGTGTTTGCATACATGTTTTTCTAAAAATTCTTTTTACTGATGTGATGGTCTCTGTTGAATCACTTAATCCAAGACCATTAAGAATATGACATAGGAAACAGCCAGCTTTTATTGTCATGCATTAAATATATAGTATGTTAAGAGACAATAGTAATATCTTTAGATTTGACAGTGTTCATTATTTTGTCAGGCTGGATCTCGATGCATGCAAGAGTCGCCTCCGGAAAGCACGTTCACTGGATGGCCAGTCTTCAGTGAGTATACATTCGTGACATTCACAAATTTTGCATATGTCTTCTTTTATCCTTGTTAAATATTAAGTACAGCAGTGACTTCGTATTTCACACAGTAATTAAGATATTGCTGTGATTTAATTCCTTTTTTCTTTTGCTTACAATTTTGTATTTTCTGAGTGCATTATCTTGAACTAGTTTTGTTTTCTCTACAGTTTTGAGTGTTACTTGAGCACATTACTTATACTTGATCATGCTATCTTGCCATATTTTATGCTTTGATATCTCTGATGTCATTATTTCAAACTTCCACTGATGTATCCTTAGTCACAACTAACCTACCATTTAGAGAGGAAACTTTAGACAAAGTCTTGGTCCATTGTGCTAAGTGCTAGATCAACAAGGTTGTGGACCACTGGCCTGCCAACAGAAATGACTTACTTGAAGAGGCTGTCTATAGAAAAGCTTGACCCCAGGCCAGACTGTGAGGGTAGAAAAACTTTTGAAACTAGTCAAAGGTATATCACAGGCCCCAGACCATTATCATAATATTCCAGGATAGACCAAAATATTTAAAATTTCTTCTTCAGATTGAGGCTTAGTAGCATATTGCGTAAGGTATGATTTTTGGATTTTTATCACAGTTAACCTGGACTTAGAAGGGGAAACTTATGATGTTTCGGTTCACTCTGGACCATTTCATGTCACAACCGAGTGAGAAAAAGAAGTCCTTTGTTCTCTGGTTTTTCTTGTTCAATTGTGACTTGACAATGGATCAGAACTGACCAAAATGTCGATCAGACGTTTCGTTTTTTAATTGTGTGTTATTTGTGATTTCTTCTAGCTATAGTATTGTGAATTATAGTTACAGTATTGTGACTAATTATTCTTGGTGATTTTTCATTCTGTATCTCTTTGCTACTGCTTGACGTTCTTGTCTCTGTAACACAGTCATTACTGTTAATGCTGCTGCTGTTGCTGTTACTATCTCTTCGTTCAGGAATCTCTGGGATAAATAGCAAGAACAAGAACTAGAAGGAAAATAGAAGAAAACCCAGAGGGGTATGTATATATATATACGCTTGTACATGTATGTGTAGTGTGACCTAAGTGTAAGTAGAAGTACTGCTACTTCTACTTACACTTAGGTCACACTACACATACATGTACAAGCGTATATATATACATACCCCTCTGGGTTTTCTTCTATTTTCTTTCTAGTTCTTGTTCTTGTTTATTTCCTTTTATCTCCATGGGGAAGTGGAACAGAATTCTTCCTCCGTAAGCCATGGTGTTGTAAGAGGCGACTAAAATGCCGGGAGCAAGGGGCTAGTAACCCCTTCTCCTGTATATATTACTAAATTTGAAAGGAGAAACTTTCGTTTTTCCTTTTGGGCCACCCCGCCTCGGTGGGATACGGCCGGTGTGTTGAAAGAAAGAAAATAGCACTTCAGGTTATATTGTATTTATCTGATGTAGGAACGACTGCTGCTGTGCCCCAAGACCTGAGCCAGGGGGGAATAAAGATACCTATTTTTTTTGTCTTTGTGGGGTGATTATTATATATCATGTTTTTGGGAAGTACAAAACCTGTGAGGGGGGATAATGTGTGGTATAGTAGGGATAGGGTAACAAAATTTGATTAAATTTCTTCGAAGAATAAAAATTCACAATACCGTGACTGGAACAGTAAACAAATAACCCGCACGTAGGAAAGAGAAACTTATGACAATGTTTAGGTCCAACTTAGACCATTACATCCTATGTGTGTAGGTTATTTGTGTAAATTCCTTTGATCAAGAGGACTTTGCTAGCATCGTCTATAGTAGGCTTCATAAATATGCACTGTAATATCAGTATGCCTCTGGCAAGACAATGGTCAAATAAGTGATAATGAAAGTGTTTTTTTTTTTTTTTTGAGTCACCCTCCCTCGGTGGGAGACAGCTGATGTGTTGATAAAAATAAACAAATCTATCACACAGAAAACAATATCTCTCACCATAACCTATTTTTTAGAAATAAAATAATGAAATTTGTTTGGCTTCCTCATGTAAATTGTTATTGCATAGGATTACCTTTCTCCTGAATGTACTCCATCTCCTAGGTACTAATAATGCTAACTTGTGGAGGATAAAAGGCATTATCCATCCACACCTTTTATTTGCAATCCAAATATTTGGATTAGAGGACATGTCCATGCCACTAATCTAACATTTAATAAGGTTGTCAATGACTCATGACTCACTGGCCATGGGTTCAAATCCCACCTGTTCCGTGATAAGATTGTAAATGTTCTCTGTCAGATTGAAGTCACTGGAGTTGCCAGGCCAGTCATTAAAGTATGGTAAATCATGATCATATAGCCACTACTTTATGCCTTTGGAAGAATGTTTGGAGCATTATCTTGCATACAAACGTTGCAATGTCACTTCTCCAAACTGTCAGGCAAGTAGCCTGGTTAAAGCATATGTACTTTCATATTTATAATGCCTACTGTACATTATAGGATTTTTTGGGTAAATTCAGTTGAAAGTGAACATCCAGGATAATATCACACGGAAAGACCCTCATAGTATTTGCTATTCAATTTTAGAGGCACTTTTTCAAATGCATTTGCAAAAAAATTGCACTATTTAGAATATTTTTTAAGAGAGCTTACCAAAGATTTATATTATTAACATTTGAAACTGTAATGTTTATACCTGATATCAGAAAATTCTGTACATTTTTATCTGCAGTAAAACAAAAAAATTTTTGAAGCTAACTTGGCTGATAAGTAAACTTTACTAATCAAGTTCCTTCTTGATGCTAATGAAGCTTTCTTGATCAATGTACAGTAATTGAGCAACACTTCTCTCCTTTATGTTAAACCTAATTATCCCCCACTCTGCCCTGCTCATACCTTAGTCACTTTATTGCCCGTACGTGAATCATATACAATACCGACAATCTGAAGAATTAGACACGTGCAACATCTGGTTATCTTATTTGTAGACATTTTGCCATCCAGTGGCTTTATCAATACAATACATGGACATAATGTGAAGACTGTAGAACCATGTACAAAAGACGAGGTAATTAGTCCCTCAATTTCAAGGTTTTTTGTATGAAGTTCTACAGTCTTCCCACTGGATGGTGAAGCGTCTACAAATAAAGTTACCCAGATGTTTCACACGTGTCTACACCCTGTATGAATTTAGCACTTTTCCCTGAATACAATAATAATAATAATAATAATAATAATAAATGGAAAATAAGTATGTAATTTACTTAAGGCAGATTTCTGTAAAATTATGTATCTTATTAAATTCATAAAAGCAGCTTTTTCACAGCATACTTACAAAAGTAGTTAGTTGTGTAGATGATGATTTCTCCATAAAGGAGACCTTTATTGAGTTTGTTTATTTCATTGCAAGCAAAAGGATGCAGTGGATCCCAAAGTCTTAGTCGCTCAGGTAACTATCTCTTAGTTTGTAGGTATCTCGTTCTCACTTGTTTGAGCATTATATTTACAATGTTAGGGGCACAGGTGAGTGATCATATCCTTCATCATTTTCTGCTGATGATAAGCCAGTTCTTCCCAACTAGTGAGTTGCTTGTTTTACCTCTATATGTTGTTTCCACAAGCAGATATTTTTAAAATTCTATTCCCAGGTCACTGTGGCCTCATAGTATTGGGTCGAGTGCTTAGATTGCAAACAAAATGACCTGGGTTTAAACCCTGATGCTCTCCTGTCCATGTTGCCCATAACAATATACTGAAGCTTGGCTTCAGGAGTAGACAAACTCTTGATACTGATCACAGATGTGAGCTTCAACAGCAGGTAAAGTAAATTTTGTTAATCTGAAGCCAAGTTAATGGTGTACAGGTGTTTGTAATAGAGCCAGTACACAGTTTACCTTCACGCAGGAGCCTTACAAAAATAGAGTCCTGTAATTGAACTGGGTGTAAGACTAGCCTAACAGGAACCAGTAGACTTACCACAGTGCTCAACTTCTTATACAGTGGACCCCCGCTTAACGATCACCTCCCAGTGCGACCAATTATGTAAGTGTATTTATGTAAGTGCGTTTGTACGTGTATATTTGGGGGTCTGAAATGGACTAATCTACTTCGCAATATTCCTTAAGGGAACAAATTCGGTCAGTACTGGCACCTGAACATACTTCTGGAATGGAAAAATATCGTTAACCAGGGGTCCACTGTATTTACATTTTGTAAGGTTCATTAGAGCTAAAATGACATCCAGATAGGGAAGCTTAGGTCTTCAGCTGCTCTTATAAATTCATCCTGTTTTTTTATAGATAAATCTTGGCTTGGATTCATTTTTCTATTAATATTTTGCATTTTTCCATGAGTAGTGATTCCAGAGGTTGAGTGAACTGGCCTAGGCATAGGCAGAGTTTTTATTTTTGTGCTGTAATTATTATAGTTCTTATATCTCTGAATGTTTGTATTTTTCTTTAATGGTTCACTTGTTTTTAAGATTGTTTATGTTCTAATAATGACTAGCATGGAATAATTTTAACTAGTTAAGATATTAGTACTGAGAGACAGAGATAGAGTGAACAAGTGAGAGAGTCAGCATTACAGAGAGAACGAAAGAGTGGGATAGAGTGAGAGTGAGAGTCAGCATTACAGAGAGAACGAAAGAGTGAGATAGAGTGAGAGTGAGAAATACAGATAAAGTGAGTGTGAGAGACAGAGCAAGAGTGAGCAATACAGAGAGAGCAAGCAAGACAGAGGAGTGAGGGGGGAGAGAGAGAGAAAGAGAGAGAGCTTGTTAGTAAACTAGCTAACTAGCTTAGTGTTGGGCAGACCATAGCACAAATAGAGAACTTCTCTGTGTATTCGTTTCTTTCACCAGAGACGAACTTTGAGAAGCTCGGCCAGGCTGAAAACTTTTTTTTGACCGACACATTACCATCAATGACTGAAACACCTTGATCAAGTTTGTCATTGCAGTTGTGTCTAATTTTTGTTCTCCAGAGGAATGTCAGGTATTATTCATGTATTGATTTTGAAGAATGTTAATTGCAGTGATGAGTTTTCGTGAAAAACAAATTATTGGTCAGCCATTTTAATGTGCCTTTTTTACCCTCTTCCTTGCTGTATTTTTGTTACTGATTAATTGCCAAAAGATATTAAGGTACCATTTTACTAGCTGTACTTTACTACAGTTTAAATGGCTGTGGAACATTGTTGATTCAGTAGAATGTACGTGTGTGTGTGTGTGTGTGTGTGTGTGTGTGGTGGTGTGTGTGTGTGTGTGTGTGTTGTGTGTCTGTCTGTCTGTCTGTCTGTCTGTCTTGTCTGTCCTGCCTGTTCCTGCTCCTGTGTTCTGTCCTGCCTCTTGCCTGCCTGTCTGTCTGCTGTCTCTGTTCTGCCTTGCCTGCCTGTCTGTCTGCCTTGGTCTGTCTGCCTGTCTGTCTGTCTGCCTGCCTGCCTGCCTGTCTGTTGCTGTCTGTCTGTCCTGGCCTCTGTCTGTCTGCCTGTCTGTCTGCCTGTGTCTGTCTGCCTGTGTCCTCTGCCTGCCTGTCTGTCTGCCCTGTCTGTCTGCCTTGTCTGTCTGCCTGTCTGTCTGCCTGTCCGCTGTCTGCCTGCCTGCCTTTGCCTGTCTTGTCTGCCCTGTCTGTCTGCCTGCCTGTCTCTGTCTGTCTCTGCCTGTCTGCCTGCCTGTCTGTCCTACCTGCCTGCCTGTCTGCCTGCCTGTCTGTCTGCCTGCCCATCTGTCTGTCTGCCTGTCTGTCTGCTCTGTCTGCCTGCTGCCTGCCTGTGTCTGTCTGCCTGTCTGCTCTCTGTCTGCCTGTCTGCCTGTCTGCCTGCCTGTCTGTCTGCCTGCCTGTCTGTCTGCCTGCCTGCCTGTCTGCCTGCCTGTCTGTCTGCCTGCCTGTCTGTCTGCCTGCCTGTCTGTCTGCCTGCCTGTCTGTCTGCCTGCCTGCTCTGCCTCCTGTCTGTCTGCCTGCCTGCCTGCCTGTCTGCCTGCCTGCCTGTCTGTCTGCCTGCCTGCCTGTCTGCCTGCCTGTCTGTCTGCCTGCCTGCCTGTCTTGTCTGCCTGTCTGCCTGTCTGTCTGCCTGTCTGCCTGTCTGTCTGCCTGCCTGTCTGTCTGCCTGCCTGCCTGTCTGCCTGCCTGTCTGTCTGCCTGCCTGCCTGCCTGCCTGTCTTGTCTGCCTGTCTGCCTGTCTGTCCGCCTGTCTGCCTGTCTGTCTGCCTGCCTGTCTGTCTGTCTGTCTGTCTGCCTGCCTGTCTGCCTGTCTGTCTGCCTGTCTGCCTGTCTGTCTGTCTGTCTGCCTGTCTGTCTGCCTGTCTGTCTGTCTGCCTGTCTGTCTGTCTGCCTGTCTGTCTGTCTGCCTGTCTGTCTGTCTGCCTGTCTGTCTGCCTGTCTGTCTGCCTGTCTGTCTGCCTGTCTGTCTGCCTGTCTGTCTGTCTGTCTGCCTGTCTGTCTGTGTCTCAGAGATGACACTACTACTACATTAAGATCTGTTGATTGAAAAGTTCTTTGAAAAATATTTGAGTTGTTTCATCATCAGTTTCTCCATCTCCAAAGTTCATTGCTTCCATTAAAGTAATTTAAAATGACATTCCTGATTAGTTTACAATTAGTGATTGTTTTTATCATCGGTGAGTTGACGTCGTGAGTGATGTAGTAGTTGACGTCGTGAGTGATGTAGTAGTTGACGTCATGAGTGATGTAGTAGTTGACGTCGTGAGTGATGTAGTAGTTGACGTCGTGAGTGATGTAGTAGTTGACGTCATGAGTGATGTAGTAGTTGACGTCGTGAGTGATGTAGTAGTTGACGTCATGAGTGATGTAGTAGTTGACGTCATGAGTGATGTAGTAGTTGACGTCATGAGTGATGTAGTAGTTGACGTCATGACTGATGTAGTAGTTGACGTCATGAGTGATGTAGTAGTTGACGTCGTGAGTGATGTAGTAGTTGACGTCATGAGTGATGTAGTAGTTGACGTCATGAGTGATGTAGTAGTTGACGTCGTGAGTGATGTAGTAGTTGACGTCATGAGTGATGTAGTAGTTGACGTCATGAGTGATGTAGTAGTTGACGTCGTGAGTGATGTAGTAGTTGACGTCGTGAGTGATGTAGTAGTTGACGTCGTGAGTGATGTAGTAGTTGACGTCATGAGTGATGTAGTAGTTGACGTCGTGAGTGATGTAGTAGTTGACGTCATGAGTGATGTAGTAGTTGACGTCGTGAGTGATGTAGTAGTTGACGTCTTGAGTGATGTAGTAGTTGACGTCGTGAGTGATGTAGTAGTTGACGTCTTGAGTGATGTAGTAGTTGACGTCGTGAGTGATGTAGTAGTTGACGTCGTGAGTGATGTAGTAGTTGACGTCATGAGTGATGTAGTAGTTGACGTCGTGAGTGATGTAGTAGTGAGCCGAACTACATCGTACTACATGAAGTATGACACTTATGCAACACTTAATCTTTATTGAGGAAATGTTTCACCAGCCAGTGGCTTCTTCAGTCCAATACAGAGAAGAGCAGTGGAAGATGAGGAGTAGTTTGAGGTAATCAATCTCTTCCTGGAGTTGATGTGTTTAGTCCATCAATCGCAAGCTGAGGGACTGATTACCTCAAACTCCTCCTCATCTTCCACCTTTCAATATATTGGACTGAAGAAGCCAGGCAATTTTCTCAATGAAGATTCCCAAACGATGCACAAGTGTCGTTCTTCAACTTGTCAGTTTTCTAGTTCATTTCCATTACATCATACACAGCAGTAATAGCTTCATTATCTTGCAATGTCAAGTATGGAAATAACCTACAGTAATCAGTGTTTAAAACAGCTCAAATATTTTTGGTTTAGTTGAGACCTCCTTTAACCCGTAAACGGTCCAAGCAGATCTACGTTCACACGTGTAGTGCTACAAAAGTAGATCTACGTTTTTTTTTACATATTTTCAAATATAACAAAAAAAAAAAGTAGATCAAAGTTTTTTTACACATTTTCAAATGTAAAAAAACAAAAAGAAGATCTACTTCTTTTACATACTTTCAAATGTTGAAAAAACGTATATATACGTTTAGACCGTTTACAGGTTAAGTGTGTTCCTGCCTGACGATGGTCTCTAATTTCACATAAATATCCGCGGTACAGGCAGACCTCCCTTATACACCAGGTTAGGTTCTGGGCTACTGATGTAAACTGAAAATCTCTGTAAACTGAAAATCACTGTACGTAAACTGAAAGTCTTTTTTTCACTTTCAAATGCATATAAAAGCCTGATAACATGTCAACATTATCATACATTAAGTGAGCAAAAGAGCTAGACCTAAAAATTGCATATACAGTACATACATTACCTTAAAAAAGTGGTGAATATATTTATTGTAGGAAGTCTGAGTAATGAAGAATGGATATAATTAAAAACTGCTGCATTAGTGAAACCCCATAAAGCAAAGTGCTGTAAGGTGGGGCCTGCCTGTATTTTCATACTGCTAAATGTGGGTTATTCATACAGATCAACCATACAGTCAGTGTGTGATTCACTTGGTGAAATAATGGTTATAGTTATTGAGTAAAATTTGGAACTTCATACAAATATATTTTGTTTTATTACAAGCTTCAGGCAGAGCAGGAAGTGTTAGAAGTAAGCACATACTCTACTTACTTATTACTCGAACAACATTAATACAGTGGACCCCCGCTTAACGATCACCTCCCAATGCCACCAATTATGTAAGTGTATTTATGTAAGTGCGTTTGTACGTGTATGTTTGGGGGTCTGAAATGGACTAATCTACTTCACAATATTCCTTATGGGAACAAATTCGGTCAGTATTGGCACCTGAACATACTTCTGGAATGAAAAAATATCGTTAACTGGGGGTCCACTGTACATTCGGGCTCCACTATTCACGACCCGTTCGTTCTGGACACACTCTTGTTAAAGCACAAATTACCCACTTCATGCATTATGGGAAATTGCAGTTAAATTGCTAATGCTGTACCAGATAAGGTGTGGCAACTCAGTATTTTCTTTCCCTGCTCACTAAGGCTCTAGATGTTAGGTAAAAGGACAGATGCTTTTTGACTTACGATGTGGTTATGTTCTGACGAACCCATTGTAAGTTGAAAATATCGTATGTTGAATGTAAATGATGTGTTAAATAAATTGGTAAATAATTACTGTCACTAAATAAATAAATAATTACTGTAACTAAATACTACAAGTATTGAAAGTAAATAAATGAATACACATTACAGACTTTGGGTTTGATTCCCGGTGAGGGTTGAAACATTAGGTGGTGTTTCCTTACACCAGTTGTCTGTGTTCCTCATCAGTAAAATGGGTACCTGGGTGTCAGTGGATCAGTGTGGGTTGCATCCTGGGATAAAACTCCTCTAATTTGTGGGAAATGCTGTGCATGACAAGGGTCTTTCTATATAGTAATATGTCACTGATGTCAGCTATGGTCTGTATACCATGTACGTGTACTTGTAGAAATAGATATTATTATTGCCGCCTTCATGCTGGGTAATTATCTCCAAAGCAATTGTTTTTACACCATCATAAAGGCAAAATATTGTAAGTCGAGAACACATGTACACTTGCAACTAATGTGACATTTTACTGTGGCAATGTTTCACTCTCCAGGATCTTTGTCAAGCTGTAACGGCTTGACTAAGTTCCAGGAGAGTCTCACGAGATGTGAAATTGACGAAAACTGAAGCCATTTTCCCCGTAAGAAATAATGTAAATCCAATTAATCCATTCCAGTCACCCAAAAATATTAACAAAAAATAATTTTTTATACATTAAATATAGATTTACGTAGAGAATGAGAAATCAAGTATAAAACGATAATAACGTGACACCTTTATTGAAGACCCTTGTTGGTGTATGGTAGAGAGGGAGGAGGGGAGAGGGTTAGGGTGATGTTCCTCCACAAATGTTTGCACCTCACTCCACTTTGCACAAATGTCCTCAATCTTTGAAGAAGGAACCTTCTTCCCTCTTTCTTCATCCTCCTCCTCCTCTGAAGCAATTTCCTCAACTGGTGTACATAAGAACATAAGAAAGCAGGAACACTGCAGCAGATCTTTTTGCCCATACTAGGCAGGTCCTTCACAAACCATCTCCCCAACAGAATATCTGCCCAACCCAATTTTCAATGCTTCCCAAGCAACGAGCTTTGATAATTCTATTCACTTAATGCGCAAGTCCCACTCAAATCAAATCGTGTGTGTGGGGAAGTACCCTGTCTGGTGTTGGGGAAGTACCCTGTCTGGTGTTGGGGAAGTACCCTGTCTGGTGTTGGGGAAGTACCCTGTCTGGTGTGTGGGGTATATAGAGTAGAAAGTAGAGGGATCTTCCTCACTTTGTGTGGCATTGCTTTATCTGAATTTTCAATTATGTGATATATCTGAAGGAGGGATGGAGATACATTGAAGTTTTTGAATTGTAGTATCATCACGCTTCTGGCAAGACATTGACGGAGTGAGTGATGATGAAAGCGTTTCTTCTTCTTTTTTTGAATCACTGCCTCAGTGGGAAACAGCTGATATGTTGAAAAAAGCTCTGGGGAAGTGAAAACAATTACCATGTGTGACTGGCATAGTTTACATTGAAAAGTTTTATGTGTAATTAAGTATTTATGGCCTAATTGAACTTAGTAAAGATACCAAGGGTCTAGCAAATTAAGAACACTAAATGAGGGTCACCTTTGTGCCTAGGAGGAGGAGGAGTGACTGGTGCATCAAGCCTGGAAGGACCAGTAGGTCTACTGCAGTACTCTGCTACCCTGGAATGTTGATATGAGGATTAAGTTGTACAAGTGAATTAATCTGATGTTTCCTCCTATTGTTTAGTATGATGTGGGTGAGGGACGAGGCTAAATTGAAGCTCCAGTGGAAATAAGTAATTTTTTCTGACTTTTTTGGATTATCCTGGAGGGTAATGTACACTATGTATGATAATTGTTCATATATGTATCTGTGCCTAAATGAACTTACTCTCTGCCCTCCTTCCAAATATTTTCTGTTCAACAGTACCTGTAAATTTCTTTATAAATAACTAGAAGACACATCTCATTTAGTCCTAAGTAAACTTTAATAATAATTCTGTGGAAATGGCGATGAATCCTTCCTCCGCAAGCCATGTGTGTTGTAAGACGCAACTAAAATGCTGGGAGTAAGGGACCAATAACCTTCTCCTGTATAAATTATTAACCCTTTGAGGGTTTCGGCCGTACTAGTACGGCTTACAACCCAGGGTTTTTGACGTACAAGTACGCCTAAATTCTAGCTCCCTCAAATCTCGTGGGAGAAAGCTGGTAGGCCTACATATGAAAGAATGGGTCTATGTGGTCAGTGTGCACAGTATAAAAAAAATCCTGCAGCACACAGTGCATAATGAGAAAAAAAAAACTTTGACCGTTTTTTTGGAATAAAACAGTGACTTTGCAGTGTATTTTTGTGTGGTATTTATTGTTGTATTCTAGTTTTCCTGGTCTCATTTTATAGAATGGAAGACATATTACAGAAATTGAGATGATTATGACTGGTTTTACAAAGAAAAGTACCTTGAAATTAAGCTCAAAGTAGCAGAAATGTTCGATTTTTACCAAAGTTCAAAGTAAACAAATCATGCCAAGCGTCCAATACACGTCAACTGGTGAATCAAATATTCTTTCACAAGTGCACCAGTATTATTTATACCATTTTTTACACTAATGCAGTAGTCTGCATAACAGTAAATCTTCTATTTTTTGTGAGAATAAAAATTCAAAGTGGAAAGCAAAAGAATATAAGAGGGGCCTTGAGAAGTGACTAATGAACAGAGGAAATGTCATTTTAGTGCCAGGAATGTCTTTCTTGTTTATTCTGGACCCTATTTGGAAATTGGCATCTTTTGAAATTTGTGTGAAATTGGCAAAATTGCTAAATTCTGACCATTGTACTGGATAGTTGAAATTGAGAAATGGGTGGTTTTTTTGCACTCATTCGATAGAAAAAATGGAGTTCTAGCGAAATATCTATGTTTTTTGTTGACTAGTACATTGGAATTGGCCAAAAATGGGGCTCAAAGTGGGCAAAATTGCCGATGCGTAAACAACGCCGAGACCGCTAACTTCGCGAGAGCATAATTCCGTAAGTTTTCCATCAAATTTCAAACTTTTGGTGTCATTATGATCGGGAAAAGATTCTCTGTCTTTTCATAAGAGAATTTTTTTTTTTTTTTAATTTGGCCGAACCTGAGGACGAGTCTTGGAGTGGGCCTGTCGACCCTCAAAGGGTTAAATGTAAACAGATGAAAATCTTTCGTTTCTTCTTTTTTTTGGTCACTGCCTCAGTGAGAGACGACCAGTAAGTTTAAAAAATATATACTAATACAGCCTCTCCTCACTTAACGACGGAGTTCCATTCCTAAGACCATGTCGGTAAACAAATTCGTCACTAAGTGAGGAACATACTATAATAGTGGGTTTGTGTCAACCATCTTTGATATTGTTTTAATGTCACCTTTGCACCATTTATAACATTTCTGATATATATTTAAATGTTTATACAGTAGTGTACTGTATATTATAACAAACAGAATAGAGGAAATCAGCTCTAATATACATTATTGAGGCATGCATATTGGTCAGAGAGCCCGTCATAAATCCGAGTACGTTGCTAAGTGAGGAAAGGCTGTAGTAGTAGTAATAATAATAATATTATTATTATTATTTTTATTATTATTATTATTATTAATACAAATCAGCCATTTCCCTTTAAGACCCAAGGAAGGACACTCATTAAAGTTAGATACAGTTAGTGTTTTTTTTTAAGGAAATCTAGAAATATAGATGTTGTTATACTACATAAGTGTTAAATTATGTACATTTAACACAGGTTAACCTGGTAAAGCCAGTGTGACTTACTTCCACCGTCATACAAGGGACATCATGATTCCGAATTGTTTTTTATATAATACACAATATGCTCATGGTCTTATTTAGCTCCAGAATTTCATAGCTGTACAAAAGAGGCTTCAAGTCTAATTCATACGGGTCTGAAATAGTGGCGTTCGATTGTATACTGTAGATTTTTTTTTTAGTTGGCACCAATATAAATTTCATGGGGACTGATGATGTCAAAATATTGAGTGATAGGAATTTCTGTTCAAGTCAAGAAATCTATACTCTAATTGATGCTTATACACCTATACTGGTTTACCTATGGACAGTGTGTATATTCTGAAAGGTACTGCATACCATATCTATTTCAGTGTACAGTGGAACCTTGGTTTTCATGATTAATCCGTTGGAAAAAGTCAAACGAAAACCCAAATCACGTGAAAACTGAAGCAATACAGTGGACCCTTGGGTAATGGCGTTAATCCGTTCCAGAGAGCTTGCCTTTAACCGATTTGGATGTTAGCTGAATTAATTTTCCCCATAAGAAATAATGGAAATCCAATTAATCCGTTCCAGACACCCAAAAATATTAACAAAAAATACATTTTATAGAGAATAACTATAGTTTTACATACAAACTAGGGATACGAAAACCAAGGTTTGACTGTATATACATACAAGTGAAGAATTGGACATGCGTGCAACATCTGGATATCTTTAGATGTCGCATGTGTCTTATTCTTCACTTTGTGGGCATTGTATACTATTTATATACAAGTGTATAATCCTTAATCCAGTCTTTGATATTAAAGGATTCTTGACTTTGTGAGTACAGGGATATGCAACCTTAATGACCCTCGTGTAGTTGATTATTATACATTTATGTGAGTGATCCACATGGGTCGTTCAGTGCAAGGAACTGTAGAGTGTCGATCCTTGGATTAAATTTGACTACCTCTCATTTCCCAGGCACTGTGTGACCTATCTGGGCTTAAGAGATTAAATAGCAATGAGTCGGTGTAGTGTGCTTGCCAGAAATATCAGTGGACATAGCATGTGCTGCATGACGACAACCACTTGCTTATATTTTTCACTCTAGTTGCATCATTTTACTGAGAGAATCATCTTGTATAAGACATGCACACACAGTCAAGACATTCACTGAAGGACACGCATTGATATAAGTCACCAGTGGTAAACATCCCCTCAAGTAGACATCTCTGTTGTGTGTACGTGTCTTAATCCAACACTGTACTGGTATTAATGTGATGTACCTGTACACTGTACACTGATATGATTGTCTTGTATTTTCATATAGTGAAAGCAGTCTATTGTATTTTCATAATTTTAATAGTGGCACTCTTGTATTTTCATAAATTTAATAGATGCACTATTGTATTTTTGTAATTTTAATATTTGCACTATTGTATTTTTGTAACTACCTGTATAATAGAAACTATTTAATTTTTAATATTTTGTATGGCAGTACACTCTTTAAGGTGTTGGTGAAGGGCTTTTCATTCAAGGAATTGGAGCTACTTTGCCCTTCCTTGGATCAAACCTGATTACCTCCCATTTCCCAGGTTCTGTATGACCCCTTTGGATTTTGCACTTCCCTTTGAATGTAATAATTAGATGTGTGTGTGTGTGATAGATCTGAGAAAGGTATCCCTGTGTGCCATAAGCCCAGTCCTCTCTACCTCGGTTATCTTTGTGAGTGAAAGTTATCTTTGTGAGTGAGTGGGGGGAAGGAGCTCTCTGACTCTCCCCTTGAATCACATTTAATTACCTTTGATTTTCCCCAGGTAATGTATTACTCCTTGGTGTTTATCCCCCATAAACTTACAAATGTCTTACAGTACACATGTGTGCACTTATAAATGTGGCACCTTGGAAGTAATTAATGCTTTACAGTTATTGAACTGCAGTACCATCCTTTGTATTATTGTTGTCTATGTGAGTGACGCCTCAGGGAGGCTCCTTGATGCCAGTGAAGGGATTCTTGGTACAAGGAATGGGATCTGCCCTCCCCTTAGATCAAACCTTAATACAGTGGACCCCCGGTTTACGATATTATTTCATTCCAGAAGTATGTTCAGGTGCCAGTACTGACCGAATTTGTTCCCATAAGGAATATTGTGAATTAGATTAGTCCATTTCAGACCCCCAAACATACACATACAAACGCACTTACATAAATACACTTACATAATTGGTCGCATTGGGAGCTGATCGTAAACCGGGGGTTCACTGTACCTCCTATTCTCCCACACACTGTACAACCCTAATGGGTTTACTCCTTCCTCTTGAATGTAATAATAACAATAAAGAATAACTTGTCTATAAATTGAAATACCAGAAATACACCCGGTTCATAAGTTAGGAAAACCTTATAATACGAAAATAAACATATACAGCCTCTCCTCACTTAACGATGAAGCTCCATTCCTAAGACCACGTCGGTAAATGAAGTCGTGGCTAAGTAAGGAGCATACTATAATGGTAGTGGGTTTGTCAACCATCTTTGATACTGTTTTAATGTCACCTTTGCACCAATTATAACATTGTTAGTATATTTTTAACTTTTTATACAGTGGTGTACTCTATATTGTGATAAACAGAATAGAGGAAATCAGCTCTAATATACAGTGGACCTCCGGTTTATGATCAGCTCCCAATGCGACCAGTTATGTAAGTGCATTTGTATGTGTATGTTTGGGGGTCTGAAATGGACTAATCTAATTCACAATATTCCTTATGGGAACAAATTCGGTCAGTACTGGCACCTGAACATACTTCTGGAATGAAATAATATTGTAAACTGGGGGTCCACTGTACATTGTTTAGGTATGCATACTGGTCAGAGAGCCCGTCGTAAGTCCGAGCAATTGGTAAACGAGTACGTCGCTAAGTGAGGAGAGGCTGTACAATGTATTCTTGTTATTTCTACTCTGTGTATTGTTTCTGATTTAAATATTTTTAATTTTCAGGCTGAAGCAGATTTAAGGAAGGCTCAGGCTGACTTTGATAGACAGGCTGAAATTACTAAACTGCTGCTGGAAGGTGTAAGGTAAGAGAAATCACTATGTATTAATAAATATTTCAAGTATAACCTGACTAGTAAAAATATATTGCATAAGGTCAACATTTGTAATCTTTTTCCTTAATTGATCTCCATTGAGACATTAGTACCTGTATTCATTATTAACCCATAGTATAAGCCCACACTATTGACCCATGCTATTAGCCCACTATTAACCAATGCTATTAGCCCACACTATTAACCCACATTTATTAACTCACACTATTAACCCACAATTTCAAGGTTTGATAATGGTCCAGCATAGACCAAAAAACCCTTTAATATCCTCTACAAATTATAGTTTAGTTGTTAATTGTTGCACCCACAATATTGTAAGTTTCATTACACATGTGAATTAATAATTGTAACATGTAGGTCACTTGCAGGTCGTCACAAGCAGCTCACCTGCGTTACCTGAATGAGCTTGTTGAGGCCCAGACACTCTATTATGATCAATCCCACAAAGTCATGGTGGAATTGCAAAAGGAACTGGCAAGGTAAGTTGATCATTCTTAAAATATTGACTGTAAGAAGAGGCACGGAACTCTGCAGTGGGTACGGAACACTGTGGTAGTTTGTGCTAGGGAGGCTCGTGTCTGTGGATAACTTGATTTTATAGCCATTGATAATTAAAATTGATTCAGTGATGACACATGGTAGTGTGTTTCATTCACTTAGTGAAACAGTACGAGTAAGCTTTTATTTACTGATGTTTCAACCATTGCGAGGTTTTGTTAAGTATGTAGACTAACACATTAACAGTGCCATCTGTTACATACAGTTGCTGCTAAATCAGTGCTTTTATATATTTCTTAATCCATGTTTGCCCATTTTGATTCCACTGTTGCAGCTCCTGGTAAATAAAGCACATGTGTGACACCTGGGTATTTTTATTTGTAAGGTGTTTTGTCCTCCAGGGACTTGATTGGTCTAATAGTCCCTGGAAGGCAAAACATTTCTTAACTCTTTCACCATTGACACCCCTGGTAAATTTCTGTGTTGCCTTTTTCCTAAAAAAAATAATCTTACAAAATGGTATAGAATCTTTCTGAAGGAAATGTCACAGGTACAAAATTGAAGGTTGGAAGCACTTTATGCAGAAGCTATTTTTCTCCAATTTGAGTCTTAGATTAAGCTAATTCTAGGCTCAAACTGGCCCAATTCCCAGCTAGTTTGCTAGTGTACCTTCCATACTTCCCAGAACTGGGTAATTAGGCTAATTTTACCATGGAGCATGTTCAAGAAATCCCAGTTTAAAAACAAAGTCCAAAACAAACAATGTAAGCATTCCAGTCACTAACACAACCTTCCTTTGCTTCACTATTCACATTTCTAGCTTTCTCCTATATAATACTTTTCCTCTGTCTTGAATCCATTGTCACACAAAAATTTGATGTTCTTCCAATTTCTCAACTGAAGAAGAATAACCAAGAATTCTTATTTGTGGTTTGGGCCATTTCAGTAATTGAAGCTGATATAGTAAAAACCCATAAAATTTAAAACTAATGGGGGTTTGAAGGGCCCGTACACGTCACCAGGAAAATTGATAAATTAGACGCATGTGCAACACTTGGGTATCTAAATTATCAACTTGTCGGTTCTCTGAACCATTCATCTTCATACCAGGAAAATTGCCATAATCGACCATTTCCGCCACTTTAAGGTCTATTGATGGCCCCTCTCAGTCTTTAGCCAGCCGGAATTTTCCCACTCACTAGTTAGTATTCTGGTCTGTCTGTTAACTGTTCCCATTATGCACCGCATGGGACAGGTTATTTTATACCGCACACAAATTTGAGGACACTATGAATTGAGTAGATTTACAAGTGATGCTGATCCCACTGACATAGTTCTATGTGATTGATAGTGACTGGGTTAAACAAAGGCACCCAGATGTTACATATGTGTCTTATTCACCATTTTGGTAGTTTTATGCATCTTTGAACTTGTTCTGGGAATATTGGAAAAAAGTGTAAGGCAGTGAGTGAGAGATAAGCATGATAATATATATGAAAGATAGTGTACATATGTACATATGGAAGATAAAGTGTAATGAACACTTGCCAGTGCTCAGTAATAACCCACATGGAAATTTGTAAATTTCAGTCCCCTTGTGGGATCTCTTTAGTTGAAGAGGATCCCATAATGGGGTCAAAATATAGAGATCAATTAATCTCCTGTGTTTCTGTGGGTTATTATTTAGCATGGAAGATAATAACGAAACTAGTCTCAAATCTGTACACTACCATAACTGTGATGGAATGAGAGATATGGGAGGAAATGTTATATAGATGTAGTGAAAAGAGCACTGTTTACCTGGAGTTTACCTGGAGAGAGTTTCGGGGGTCAACGCCCCCGCGGCCCGGTCTGAGACCAGGCCTCCTGGTGGATCAGAGCCTGATCAACCAGGCTGTTGCTGCTGGCTGCACGCAAACCAACATACGAGCCACAGCCCGGCTGATCCGGAACTGACTTTAGGTGCTTGTCCAGTGCCAGCTTGAAGACTGCCAGGGGTCTGTTGGTAATCCCCCTTATGTGTGCTGGGAGGCAGTTGAACAGTCTCGGGCCCCTGACACTTATTGTATGGTCTCTTAACGTGCTAGTGACACCCCTGCTTTTCATTGGGGGGATGGTGCATCGTCTGCCAAGTCTTTTGCTTTCGTAGTGGGTGATTTTCGTGTGCAAGTTCGGTACTAGTCCCTCTAGGATTTTCCAGGTGTATATAATCATGTATCTCTCCCTCCTGCGTTCCAGGGAATACAGGTTTAGGAACCTCAAGCGCTCCCAATAATTGAGGTGTTTTATCTCCGTTATGCGCGCCGTGAAAGTTCTCTGTACATTTTCTAGGTCGGCAATTTCACCTGCCTTGAAAGGTGCTGTTAGTGTGCAGCAATATTCCAGCCTAGATAGAACAAGTGACCTGAAGAGTGTCATCATGGGCTTGGCCTCCCTAGTTTTGAAGGTTCTCATTATCCATCCTGTCATTTTTCTAGCAGATGCGATTGATACAATGTTATGGTCCTTGAAGGTGAGATCCTCCGACATGATCACTCCCAGGTCTTTGACGTTGGTGTTTCGCTCTATTTTGTGGCCAGAATTTGTATTGTACTCTGATGAAGATTTAATTTCCTCATGTTTACCATATCTGAGTGGCACATATCTGTGGGCACAAAAAGAGAACACTGTGTCAACATTTCTGGGTCTAGGTTCAGCTGGCTGCCAGTACATATCAATTCAAGAGGACACTGGTTCACTACCTGCTTGGTATACCAGATCAACCAGGCTGTGGTAGATATGTGGGCTGACAGGCCTCCAAAGCAACAGCCTTGTTGACTGTGAGAGTAGGAAAACTTGAAAAAGTCACAGGTAAATCTATTATTGTACAATATATCATCCATTATGTTGGCCAATCAGGGAAGAGAGTCCACCTAGGTTGTCAAGAGTAGAGAATGATCATATTACAGTGGAACCTCAAATATCGAACTTTTTTCGGTCCAGAAGGCTGTTCGAGTGCCTTTACCGAATGAATTTATTCCCATCAGGAATAATGTAAATTAGATTAGTCCATTTCAGACCCTCAAAAATACACTTATAAAAGCACTTACAAAAATACACTTACATAATTGGTCGTGTTGGGAGCAGTTCGATTTTTGAGGTTCCACTGTATTTTTTTACGGTCCATTTTTTGTGCATTTTTAAGCATTTCTTGTTTGTGACAGTCCTAGAGGTGGGAAGTACAGTGCCTGTACTCTGAAGCATTAGTGGAGATGTGGTTCTGGAGGTGGGAAGTACAGTGCTCATACTCTGAAGCATTGGTGATGTGGTTCTGGAGGTGGGAAGTACAGTGCCTGTACTCCGAAGCATTGGTGGAGATGTGGTTCTGGAGGTGGGAAGTACAGTGCCTGTACTCTGAAGCATTGGTGATGTGGTTCTGGAGGTGGGAAGTACAGTGCCTGTACTCTGAAGCATTGGTGATGTGGTTCTGGAGGTGGGAGTACAGTGCCTGTACTCTGAAGCATTGGTGATGTAGTTCTGGAGGTGGGAAGTACAGTGCCTGTACTCTGAAGCATTGGTGATGTGGTTCTGGAGGTGGGAAGTACAGTGCCTGTACTCTGAAGCATTGGTGATGTGGTTCTGGAGGTGGGAAGTACAGTGCCTGTACTCTGAAGCATTGGTGATAGTGTTCTGGAGGTGGGAAGTACAGTGCCTGTACTCTGAAGCATTGGTGATGTGGTTCTGGAGGTGGGAAGTACAGTGCCTGTACACTGAAGCACTTGTGTAGATGTTCTGGAGGTGGCAAGTACAGTAACAATCGTGTATATTTCAAATAAAAATTGGTTGTTTGGTACTGGCGGTACACAGTACAGAGGAGTTGCTAACTTAAGACAAATAAACAGCAAATATAAAATTGAAGGATTAGACACACGTGCAGCATCTGGGTATCTTTAATTTGTAGACGTCTGTGAATTAAAGATACCCAGATGTTGTGATTCTGTTTTATTCATCATTTAATAAAGGCTGCTAATTGACCCCCCTCAAGGAAGGTTCCTTGATGTTGGTGAGGGGCTCTTGATTTAGGGAATTGGATCTGTGCTCCAGTTCCCCGAATTAAGCCTGAATACCTTCCACATCCCCCCCCCCAGGCGCTGTATAATCCTCCGGGTTTAGCGCTTCCCCCTTGATTATAATAATAATAATGCTAATTGACCTCTTACTGCAACTCAACCTGTAAATTTGGAACACCTTTGCAGGTAAACATTCAGTTATTGTCACCCGTTTTTTATCTAGAAAAAGTTTACGACTACCTTGTATTACAACATTTTTATCCAAGCTCATTTCTCAGGCCTATGAGGCAAACTATTACTTTTCCTCCAAGATTTTTTTCATCGGAAACACTTCAGTGTTTGAGTAAATAAGTTTTTCTCTCTAACTTTGTACAAGTATAAGATTTGTCACAGTATTACCAATGCTGCAGTTTCTTGAATTAAACCTGAATATCCTCCAGTCCCCCAGGCACTGTATAATCCCTACGGGTTTAGCGCTCCCCAATGAGTATAATAAGAATACAGAGTATGGTACAGTAGTTTCAGCACTTCTCAACTGACTGAAGGATATTGGCCTACCAATACAGTTGCGAATTTTACTGTTCAATTTATTTTTTTTAACACAGTGGTTGTCTCCCATCAAGGGAGGGTGACCTAAAATAGAAGAAAATGTCAAGTTTTTCTTCTTATTTAGATTTAGTAATTTATGTAGGAGAAAGTTATTAGCACCTGGCATTTTAATCGCCTCTTATGACACACATCGCTTACAGAGGTAGGATTCTTCTCCATTTCCCCATGGAGATGTTTAAAATCACCTTTCAACAAACCAGCCATATTCCACCGAGGCTGGGTGACCCAGAAGGGAAAATGAAAGTTTCTCCTTTTAAATTTAGTAATATATATACAGGAGAATGGGTTACTAGCCCCTATCTCCCCATGGAGATAAGCCGAAATAAACAAGAACAAGAACTAATAAGAAGATAGAAGAAAGCCCAGAGGGGTGTGTATATATATGTTTGTACATGCATGTGTAGTGTGAATTAAATGTAAGTAGAAGTAGCAAGACGTACCTGAAATCTTGCATGCTTATGAGACGCATAAAAAAGACACCAGCAATCGTACCATCATATAAAATAATTACAGGCTTCCATTTTTATTCACTTGGCAGGACAGTAGTACCTCCCTGGGTGATGTTCAAAATATTCTGTACTAATAAATGTACCCTGTGAATGTTAAAAGAATTCACTACGTATACTGTAATCTGAATTCAGAAGTAAACCTATAAACAGACACTGGTCAAGCTGCTGCAAGTGCATGTGTCACTGCACCTGTCAGATCAGATGCCTTCTTTGTTGTTTTGGCATTTTTGCTTTCTTTGTCCTGTCTGATGGTTCCCACCTTTGCTATAGGCTCTGATTCCCTAACTGATATTGATTTGCTTAATCTACTGTTACCCCCCCCCCCCCATTTTCTCCTCTGATGTACACCCTCAACACTGCCTCTTATTTACGTCTACCATCTCTCTCATCTCTCCCATACAACACTGAATGACTCTTATGAGATTAGTACTTTCCATTAACATAATAATAATAATAATAATAGTAATAATGTGGATGTAAATAAGAGAAAATTGCACTCATTAGGTAGATACTCTTCAGCATTACACTGGTTTAATACAGTTAGGTAATAAAAATATGTAGCAAGAATTACTATTGGTATCTGATGTTAATGTGTATTGCATGCAGCTGTGCAGTGAAATGTGAAACATCACAGTCTTAACACGACAAGTTACACACACGGAAATCAAGAGGGCAGGATAACAGGAGAACACTAAACCCACTGTGTTTGCTGTTTTCTGATGAGTCTTCCCTCTCTCTTTATTTCAGTGTCCCCTTCAACCCCTCGGCAGTCGGAGCTTTTGACAACAGTGTCCCAGTTTTCCAAATAAATGACGAAGAAATTGACTTGCAATCCCCATCTTCACCCTAGCCTAGCATGTTTGATTGTTAAACTCTGTAATCTTATTTCCAGTGTTATTACTGGCCTTATTAGTGATATTTCTATCTGTCCATATCATGTATGCCTTTACGGTAGTAATAGAAGGCTGGTGCATGCAAGATCCTCCCTAAATGTTGCAGTTAGATTTTATGTTTGTGTGTTTACGATGCAGCGTCATTTAAATTATATTCTTAGGGAAGCACTTAATCTGTAGGGGTTGCAAAGCTTTTGGAATATTAGGAGATACAAGGTTTGAGATGAGGAAGGGGAGGGTAATGCCAGTTTCTTGTATAAAGATCCATTCACTAGTATCAAAGCTCTCATCCCTGCCACCTTGAATAAGTTACAGTTGAACAAATACTCAAGCATCTACTAGGGAATTATTCTTATGTTTTTCACACACTTTTGTGAAGGGCTTTTCAAATTTATTATATGTACTTAAATACGTACAAGAATATGTTAAAATTAAAAAGTTTTCAAGAGAAGTGCCTTGGTGTTAGTGAAGAGTTCTTTGAAGAACAAAAAGGCACATTTCCCTGACCGGAACAATACACAAATAACCCACAAATAGGAGAGAAAAGCTTACCAATATGTTTCTGTATGACCATTTACATTGTCACACTAACACAAAATGGTCCAAGTCATACCGAAATGTCGCCATAAGGTTCTCTCTCCTATTTGCGGGTTATTATCTAAGAATTCTTGATTCAAGAAATTGTAACTACATGATTACCTCCCATTTGTCGGATACTGTATGAACCCCTCCCATCCCTACAGGTTTAGCGTCTCTCCATAAATGAAATAATTTAAAATCACTTGTAGCGTACATACACATCCGAGGGAGAAGTAGAGGTAGAGAAAATACACTCAGATGGTATAAAGATTTGATAGAGCTTAGTCTACTAACATTTTGAGGGATAAGTTAATCCTCTTATATGAGAAGGACTTTTAGTGTGTATGTAGCAGGAGTGTGTGAAGTGTTAGTGGGAGAATGACTGGTAATAACCCCAGTATCACTAGTCACTAACATTCACCCAAGATATAAAGTAAGACTGGTAGTAACCCCAGCATCACCAGTCACTAACATTCACCCAAGTATAAAGTTAAGACTGGTAGTAACCCCAGCATCACCAGTCACTAACATTCACCCAAGATATAAAGTAAGACTGGTAGTAACCCCAGCATCACCAGTCACTAACATTCACCCAAGATATAAAGTAAGACTGGTAGTAACCCCAACATCACCAGTCACTAACATTCACCCAGGATATAAAGTAAGACTGGTAGTAACCCCAGCATCACCAGTCACTAACATTCACCCAGGATATAAAGTAAGACTGGTAGTAACCCCAGCCACCCCATTGTGATTATTGTATTCATCTGAGGCATTAAACCCACATGGGTCATTCAACACAAGAGTTGTGGAGGCTGGATCCTCCATGCACTAAGCAGGAGAGAGATGCACTACTCTGGCAGCCAAGATCACCCCTCATAAGTAACCAACAGTCACACACAAATAAAACGCTTGTCTAGAACTATTATTATCGTCATATTATTACATTCCTATATAGTCTTCTCAAAAGCATTCTCTTATTAATCTGTCTCTTGTCATGTATTATAAGTTTACTGTTGACATAAAGAACATCTGTGATAGTTTTACTTATTGTTAAGTAAATAAGAACGTAGGGTTGTTATTGTGTCCTGAGAAAGGAATTGTTATAAAGTATGAACATTTGTCATACCATTGTTACCTTATCCTGTGAAGTGATATTGTAATGTGATATGCAAGTACAGTATTGTGATTGAATATGCGTTAAAAGTTAAACTAGTTTTGAACCCTAAGGTTGCTGTAGCTTGTAGTCACATGATTGGTTTCATACCTAAGTTCATCTAGTAATGGAGACATAATTAACTAGTGCAGGTACATATTTCAAGCCCCTACTGCTGTGGAGGGATGCCTGGATTAAGGGGCATGGAAAATCCCTATTGCTTGACCTATTCATGGGTAATGTATTTTAGGGAATTGTACTGGTACAGATTCTCAAATCCAGGACTCTGGAATCCAAGACTCTGGAATTCAGGACTCTGGAATCCAGGACTCTGGAATTCAAGACTCTGGAATCCAGGACTCTGGAATCCAAGACTCTGGAATTCAAGACTCTGGAATCCAGGACTCTGGAATCCAAGACTCTGGAATTCAAGACTCTGGAATCCAGGACTCTGGAATCCAAGACTCGAATCCAGGACCCTTGAATCCAAAATCCTCAAATCTAGAACTCTTAAATGTAGGATCCCAGAACTCAGAATCCTCAGATCCTGGTCCCTCTACTCTAACAGTCTCTTAAAACCAGGAGCTGGATTTAATAGTTTGTACTTGAATGATGTACAGTGGAACCTCAGTATGCGACCAGCTCCCTACTCAAACAAAGCTCAGCACTCATCCAAACAAATATAACCTGCCAGAGCATCGCTGTTAACTATTTCATGTTTCTTCGCATTTTTTGGTGTTTTTTTATATTGTATAAATAAGTCACCATGGGGCCTATGAAGATTAGTGATAACAGCCAACCAAACAGAAAATTGGTTGGGAAGAACTTGTTCGCTACTCAAACGGCGGAGCAGCACTCGAACAGCCTTCTGGAATGAATTAAGGTCGCATACCAAGGTTCCACTGTATTGACTTCAGTAATCATTTACTTTATTGTAAAATCAGGCAATAAATAAAATTACTAAAATTTATTCTGAAACAGTAGTATGTAGATGACATTAATGTAGTTTTAACTTTAATTTTAATTCTTTTAGAAAAATAATTTTTAGATACGTAGTAGATTCTCTGTCTTTGCGTATTGTATTTTCCATATACGTATATTTAAACTGATTTATATTAAATATCTGCAGTTTCCAGACATTTTAGCTATATTTCCATTAATAATCAGAAAGTATAATACTGTAGTGTATAATAATTTTAACACAGAATCAAAATATATTATCATAGATCGTGTGTCCATATTTCTGTAATACCTTTCTAATACCCAAGAAAATATAAATCTGAAGTGTTTCAAGGAGAAATGGAAAGATATCGGAGGCTCCCAACACCATAGGTTACAAATGTTTCCAAGTTGTAGCTTCCCCAAGTTGTAGCTTCCCCAAGTTGTAGCTTCCCCAAGTTGTAGATTCCCTAAAGGTTATAGGTTCCCCAAAGGTTATAGATTCCCCAAAGATTATAGATTCCCCAAAGATTATAGATTCCCCAAAGATTATAGATTCCCCAAAGGTTATAGATTCCCCCAGTTATAGATTCCCCCAGTTATAGATTCCCCCAGTTATAGATTCCCCCAGTTATAGATTCCCCCAGTTATAGATTCCCCCAGTTATAGATTCCCCAAGTTATAGGTTTTGCAAACTACAAATGCCTGAAGTTATAACTGTTTCAAGTTATAGCTTCCCTAAGTAATTACTCTGTGGTTTAGTAGAAGAGGGACAGACTGGCAATCTTAGGGTCATCAAACAGTCTGAGGTCAGATCTTTTTCTATGGGATTGATTGTTTCATTTTTATTAATCAGCACTGTATAAGGTATTTCAGTATCCTGACATGCTCCTTTACTCTGTCCTCCTCTCACTGCCTCTCCTTAACCCTTAAACGGTCCAAACGTGTATATACGTTCACGCGCGTAGCGCCCCAAACATATATATACGTTTTCTTTGTCATTCATTCAACATTGCCACAATAAGCCTGAGTCACCTAGACATGAGAGAATGGGTGTGTGCACTCACTGTGCTCCATATTAAAATAATTGGGGATGCCTGGGTACCATATGCTCTTTTTTCCTTTTAAAAGAAAAGATTTTTTTTTTCCTCAAAAAATTTGGGGCGCTACGCGAGTGAACGTATACTATATACGTTTGGACCGTTTAAGGGTTAATGTGCACCAGTGGTTTTTTTTTGCATCAGTTATAATCCTTCTTCCATCAAACCATCATTCATATTTTTAAAACATCGGGTGTGTCCCACCTGGGCAGGGTGACACGAAAAAGAAGAAACACTTTAATCATCACTCACTCCATCACTGTCTTGCCAGAGGTGTGCCAGTACTATAGTTCAAGAACTGCAACATGTCTCCGCTCCTCCTCAGTCTTTCTCTACCTAGCAAACTGTTAGGAATCTGCAGAATATACACAGTGCTGGGGCAATCTACCAGTCTATGGCCATACCTTAGTGGAGATATTGGTTTAGTGCTTAAATTGATTTTAATATTGATTATAATAATAATTGTAATTTTTTTTATTTATTTTTTTGTATTTAGCAAAATTGAATACACAAGCAATGTGTTGCTACACTATTCTGTATGATAGTTATACAGTGGGAACATTCACAGTATGCTGCTATAATACAGTGGACCCCCGGTTTACGATATTATTTCATTCCAGAAGTATGTTCAGGTGCCAGTACTGACCGAATTTGTTCCCATAAGGAATATTGTGAATTAGATTAGTCCATTTCAGACCCCCAAACATACACGTACATAATTGGTCGCATTGGGAGGTGATCGTAAAGCGGGGGTCCACTGTATTCTGTATGATAATTACAGTGAGAGAACAAAAGCTAGCTGTGTTTTCCAATAATATTCCATCACACAGGATGGATTATATACAGTGTTGAAATATATCAGCCTGAAGTGAGAGACTTCAGTAGGGCAGTGAGTAGTTGTCAAGCTGTAAGGTGCATTAGTTACTGGAGTTTAGCAAGTTTTCTCCCAGCACAGTTGTAGAAAGACCTCAGGTAGATACATCTCTAAAAAGCGTAGGATTGTGCAGTTATGGCAATGTATGGTACAGTATTGAGATTCTGTTTTCAACATATAGGTGGTCTCCCACTGAGGCGAGGTGACTCGAAGAATAAAAACTCATAAAGTTTCTCTTCATTTTACATTTAGTAATTTATACAGTAGAAGGGGGTAACACAGTGAATATTATGTTGAAAGTTTTATACAAGTGTTTTATTTAAACTTTGTAATATATTAGGTAAGGAAGGTTATATCTAGCAGATACAGCTTTTTATCACTTGCCAATAGCCAAGAATAAATGGTTTGAGGTGCAACAAGCAGTTTGTTTTGTACTACTGTACATATATTTACACATACACAGACGAATCTTCTATTACCACAAAATAGAGTATATATGCATAGTGTTACAAGACTGGATGGTATTGATAGTAGCTATGGCAAGCCAAGCTGAAATCTAAGACTGACAGAGCATAATAGGCATAGTCAACGGTGTACATATATAAATAAACAGAATAATGGAGGGGGGGTGCAAACTGCTATACGTACATAAATTGACAATCCGACACTGTACCACCTCGGCTGCTGATCTTCTAATAGAGACGTCTTGGAAGTAGTGCTTCTCTATTAGAGGCTCAGCAGCTGAGCTTCTGTATATTCATTGTATATTCTGTATATTCATTGACAGTTGTTTATTACAGCTTAATCTGAGTTCATTGTACATACAGTGGTACCCTGAGTTTCGACCGCCTCCCAACTTAAACACTTATGTAAGTGTACTATTGTAAGTACTTTTGTGAGTGTATTTTTGGGGGCCTGAAATGGACTACTCTAATTTACATTATTTCTTATGCTAACAAATTCGTTCGGTAACGGCACTCGAACAGCCTTCTGGAACGAATTATGGCCAAAACTTGGGGGTACCACTGTATATCTGTACAGAGACATTAGAGAGAGACATGGGATAAAAGAACACTAATTGTAATGAATATAACAAATATGCAAAGTGGGAACTGTGACAATTGCTCTTTGCCAATGAGATTCTGGGGAAAATCTGAATAGACATTGCAAAGTTTACTGAAGGATTTTGGGTATGTAAAAGTATGAAATTAAAAGTGAGCATAGAAAAAAAAGTGATGAAAGTAATAACAGAAAATCTAGGTAATGAAAGATGGAATATATATGAGAAATGAAGTCTGGAGAAGATGAATGTATTCAGTTATTTGAGAGTGGATCTGTATGCAGATGGGTCTATGAAAGATGAGGTGAATCATAGACTAGACAAAGAAAAAAGGTAAGTGATGGGGTGAAGCGTCTGGGGAAAGAAAAGTTTGTCTACGGAGAAAAAGAGAGAATGTACCATAGTAGGATCAACACTTTTATATGGGTATGAGGCAGCAGAGGGATGTTTGAGGGCAGTGTGTGGTGTGAATGTTATGCAGAGAATTCGTAGCATATCATAAGGTGCTGTGGGGTAACCAAGAGTTATAACTCGGAGGACTGAGGAGGGGTAGTTGAGGTGGT